ACACATATCTAATTCTCGACTTACTTAACCTTTACTTTACTGTCCTCAACATGTTTTAGTGTTAATGGATGGCTTTATCAGCTCTGAAATTTCCGAATACATGTTCCTGGCTTTAAATATAGAAATATTAGGAAAGGCCATTAGATTCAGACCATGAAAAAGAAATATATTTGGACACAACCAGTAAAACTTATGCCGTAATAGAACAGGAACCCTGACTCAGAAAATGCAGAGTATATGTTCTGTAACGTTCTATTTTCTAAAGATAATAAGGAGAGATACGGATCAAATGCTTCATATGGTGATTGCGCAGGTAAAGTTCGACACGTGATTTTTACAAGTAACTTAAGTTACATTTTTAAATTTGACCAAAGTTCCTGTAGTGTTTTATAAAAATAAATTATTATTTATAGTTTTGTAGTAGCCCTGAGAGTAGTCCATATTTGGGTTATTTGGGTACCTCTTTCATAATTAGCCTTTATGTTGATTTTGTTTTTGAGAAAATTTATACTTTGAATTATGTAACGTTAATAATAATAATAAAACAGTTATGTAACGTTAATAATAACAATAAAAAAACAGTTATTATGTTCAACTGTATGACTGATAAAAACTAAGAATAAAAGTTTTTGATTTTCAATACCTTTTTTTCTATAACACAAAAACACAAATATTATATGGAATATTTGTGTTTTTGTTAAGCCAAAATGGTATTCCATATTCCTCTCTACTGAGTGTGAATAATTGTTTTATGTAATGTCCGTGACAAATTGAAAATAATATAAATAACAATTTTCTGAAAATCCACGAATTTAACTTTCTGCTGAAAAAACTCGGCAACATCGCCATATTCGATGTTCATTCAAGTTTTTGGCCATTGTGCTATACAATAATGGAACAATAACCACCAAAAACCCGTTACGTAAGCTGTAAACACTAGATCTTTGGTCTAGTAATGAAAAACAGTGTAACCTACATTTTTCTACAGTTCTTTAATCGTAAATGTCAAAGAGCTATGTATGATAGTAATTTATTACAAACGACAAAAAACTATTTAAAAACATATGTGAAAGAGCCCGTAGATCTCACGGAGCAAAAGTTGAGGATGCTTCTGGTATTAATTATTGTTGGGTATTAGAGATGAAAATATTAGCATACAGAGGTGCTATTTTTAATTAAAAAAGTTTTATTGATAAAAAGAATTAAAGCCGTAATGGTTCTCTATTCAACATATCAACGGTATGACTCGCTCATCAATATTTTAGATATATTTATTTTGGGAAATGCTGAAATGGGTCAAAATAAAGCAATACATATGGTCAATGTATCTTTCCACGATCTTAAATCAATTGTCACTAAGAATTCTTAGAAAGCCCCTATTGAAGTCAATAATACATCCTTTTCTTTTTCACTGTATATTATAACCCCCAATGTGCCATCAAATAAATACTTTCACTGTAACATAATATATGTTTAGTCAATTCTTTATGAATGAGTATCACTGTTTACGTGTTGTACAAGTAAGAAGATGTTCAATTGCAAATAAGAAATTAATAAACGAAAGACGCATAAACCTAAAAAATAAATTAAAACCGAGATTAAAACGCAATTTGGAATATACCTATCACAAACATTTTGTTTGTTTTTGGGGAAAAATAATATTCTCAAGGCTAGAATATTAATATTGCTAATTGACTTCTATATTTTTTCACTATTAGCTGAACTCGTTAAAAAAACTCATCAACTTTTCAACATATTAAAGCAGAGAGTTAATTTGCATAAGGAAATTATTCCTCCTCATATTAAAATATGTACGTATAAGGTAAAATTACACCAATGCGGCTATTGATTAAATAGAAATATTAAAAAATATATAATTTTAGACCGTGAAGTATTCCATGCAAAAAAAGCAATTCTACATTCTATATAAATAATAATCTACTTAAAAAGAAAATACTAGATTAAATTCCCAAAAAAGAAAATAATTGTTATTAATCATAACTTTATATTAATGGACTGTAATAGTGTCATACTATTTTATATATTTTATAAATAAATATAATTTTATTGTTTACTGCTTATCAAATTGTGGTAATACAGAATAAATTCCCATATGATAAAAATAAATTTAGTTTTTAACAATAAATAAAAAAAAAAAAAAAAAAAACTGAAAATTTATTTATAAATGCTTATTTTTAAAAATATAGAAGTACTTTTATTAATATATTTACTAAAACCACTTTTATACATTCATATTATATTATTATTCGTAGAATAACATGTACTAAATCAGAAATAATATGGAACATAGTCGAGAAATAGTGTCTTTATTGTCATCACTTATCAATATGTATGACAATATTATCTATGACACTTAGTTTGCTTTAAATAGACATAAAACAAATATCAACGTGTTAATTTGCTCTTCATGCTAGAGATTAAATTACACCAGGTATAATAATAGTAACCAAATACATGACGTGAACTATATGTGATACGATACGTGACGATCATAAATATTAAATTTTAACTTTTTATTATCATAAATATTTTTGAAGTAGTTTTAAAGAATTGATCATATAATTGTTATGTATTAACAAGGACTTATTTGGTGTAGTCGGTTTTCTTACAAGTTACATGGGCTAAAGTTTCGTTTATTTGAAACAGTAAGAAATATTTGTTTATTGAGTATTTGGAAGCCTTGTTGAATAGTATTTGACAATTTTTTTTCTGCGGAAATACATCATTTTCAATTTTTCAACTTTATAATAGCTGAAACTAGTTACATAGAAAACACGTTTCAGTTTTTCATTCTAGAATTTTTTCAAAACATACACACGAAAAAAACTTCTTGCGGAAGTGTACCATTTCATTTATTGATAAAATATTGTAAAATATAGCAATATTTGAAAAGTATTTGGCAATTGGAATTAACAGACAGGTTTTAGCTTTCGGCGTGTTTTGATTCCTTTGGTTAGGTTTGTTTTATTTTGGTTTGGTTTGTTGGTTCATTTTTACTTATTTTCGTTTATTCTCGGTACGGTATTGATGTCTAGAGTACAGTATCTACTAGGTTCAGTTCATACCTACACAAGAAAAATGTTTAGAATGTAAAGCAGGAACACGTTTTCATGTAACTGACCTGAGTTATTCTATAGTCGGAAAAAAGGAGAGTAATGCATTTCCGCAGAGAAATTTTTATGATTTTGTTTGGGGAGCCTTCTATACACTGGACGTTTTGTTGTTTTTTTTATAAGTGATTTCAAGTAAAACTTCATCCGGTACATGCACTTCGATAAGCAATAAATCTCAATCAGTTTGCCTGTAGCTGTAAATCAAAGAACAAGACCAAAAAAAAAGCATCAGCCACCAAGAACACCCCTCGGGCCGGACAAAACAACGGCCGGCCGCGACTGTAAACACGCAAACCCGTTGCTGATAATTCCCGCTCACTGACAGCCGACAATCGCCGGCAATTCCCGTTAGAACGCTAACTCTCTTTCACTTACAATAGATAACAAGAAAACCGCGACGAAGACGCGTAGAGAAGAGGAAAACGGTCAATTATATGGCACGAAAGGTAAAAACCAACGCGGAATTTCAAATTTGGCGTCGGCGGTCGCGCACTTCTACCACGACGCTGTTCGAGTATCGGCGGGCAACTAACTGAAGCCGGAGAATAGCTCGAACCGATAGTCGGAGCGAGAGAAATAAAACGGTATGGCCATCATTATCGGTGGTTGTGTTTGGGGCGACAACGGCAAGACTTGACCACATATGGGACAGACGCGTCATCGGTGGGCAGTCTGGTCACGTGGGACGCGACGCTGGTTCGGAGGACGATGACGATAGCTGTCAAATTTGGACTAAACTACCAACAATACCATCATCATGATATAGAGCTTTACACCACACATAAATACAGTGATGCCCTCTTGTTCTTGTTATACTGCTCGATGACATCTATTTCCGGCCTGTTCTCCAACGTCTTATAGATCGTAAATATTTGATTGCGGCATCTTCCTGGTATTTTTACGCCTCTCATATCTTAGATACCAATTGCAATTTTGAAAATACATATTTCCGCAGTCTTTGTTGTCCAATACTATTTGAATGTTATTCTGTAGTTCACATTTGTTACCTTCATTTGTTATTTGTTACCATCTATTCTTTTCTGTTGCTTCTGATGCTTCCAAAATCAAAGCAGGAACAGGGATTGGAGTATTTGGGACGAGAGCTAAATACTCCGAACCAATGGGCACCTACCTTCGCACATCCTACATGCACAAATCTCGCTATCGAAAGATGCGTACAACTTATGTTAGATAGGAACAATCGGAAACAAGAAATAGCCATCTTATCTGATAGTTAAGCAGCGTTAAAAGCAATTAACTCAGTATTAATCAATTCGAAGTTGGTCAAAGAATGCATAGAGGAGCTGAACAAATTAGGCAAAGAAAACAAAGTTCTCCCACTCCCACTGGGTGCCAACTCACCAAGGGATAGAAGGTAATGAGAAAGCAAATGATCTAGCTAGAAAAGGAGCGAACACTCCACTAACTAGACCAGAACACCGTTCTGCTTTCCAAGTGGAAACCAACTAAAAGCGGAACTGAAGAACTTGGAGATCTCCATCCGTAACCTGGAATGGGAATCCTGCAACAAAGATTTTCCTTAATTTAAGTAAGAATAATTTTCGAATTGTTACGGGTTTTTTAACAGGACACTGTCTACTCAATGAACACCACAGTCGCTTGAAGCTAAGAAAAAACAGAAAATGCAGATTCTGTGAGGAAAATGGGAAAATATCAAAACATCTCATCACTGAGTGAGCCGAGACGACAACCATTTGTGCCATAAAGTTGAATACCACTGATATTGGAGATGCAGAACTACCCTCTGTAAAACCGGCCCAGATACTAGCTTTTGTAAAAGCCCTGGGACTGTATGATGAGTTATAACTCAAGAAAGGGGGCACAATAGATCTTCAAGGTCGCGGTGATTAACCCCCATCCCACTCATTCTACACTCTCCATCTTCTATTGTATTTTTTTGTTAATTTAGGCATACATCGCTTCATAAACATTGAACCATCTGGAGTTTCCGAGTTAGGTCCAAATTTCATAGTTGTATATCATGGTTGGAGTCAAGTAGTAGCAGCAATATATAGTGATAAATAAATCTCTTTATAAGGCTAAACGAAGCTAGAAGAATCAATAAATTGGTTCTTTATTGAACTTATAACTTCCAAGGAAATTATAAGTACAATAAAGAATCTAAGAATAGTGTTTTCAAGAATAGTGTGTACTGGATTAGAGCAAGCCGCCGCTATTGGAGAGAGCACGTAGAAAGGATAGGTCCAGATAGAATTACCAAGTGGACCAAAACACAGAAACCAGAAAAAAATGTCCAGTTGGTAGGCCCCCAAAACGCTGATATGCGAGCTGGACATCTACATCACAAGAATTGACAGGACCTCATCCTACTGCAAGAACAAGAATTACTGGTTCTACATGGAATACCATCAAGCGCTGCATCCCTTGGAAATAAGATTTGGACTGAATTAGTACTACAATATTGTGGTAACAAAAAAGCTGACGGAATGGCTAAGAAGGCAGCCTAATACTCTTCAACTGATCCGATTCAGATTATTACCCGCCGCAGTAATGACGGAAAAAAATAAAATACATCAAACTAGAATAGAAGGCCTAGTAACAACAGCAGTAATCCAATAAAAAAGCAGCAAATAATATTTTCAGCGATTTGACTGATGCAACTGTAATTTAGTAATTAATTAATTTAATAATAATTATTAACTTTGGTATTAATTTATTTTTATTGTCTAGTGCCAGTAAATTCAAATAAATCATAGAGAAATTTAGTAAAAATTACAATAAATGAAAAAGTTGAAAATGCATAAAATATTTTATGCTTACTGTTTCCATTGAATAAATCACATCAGGCGGTCATCAATCTTCATAGCCTCAACTGCACTTTTTATTTAAATGATATCGTCAAAAGAAAACATGCTACTTTATCGAACAGACACTGATAACCAACTGAATGATGAAATATGCATTACGATGACTGGATTTAATTTGTAATTCTATTTTCGGATTGACATCAATTTTCATTTTCTCTCTATTGTTTTTCAGCAACTGTTGCTGTAGTAACCAGAAGGCGCGATTTTAAGATTTATATAAGAGGTATGAATATTAATGACAAGTGACGTAAAGTATGTTGATATACCAGGCGTCTCTCCCAAAAAGGTTTGTGTTGGTTGTAGCCCACACTTCGATATGAATACGGTTTTTATTATCGAAGGCGATTCTGGTTTAATTATCGATTGTTGAAAGTTTTTTAAGAAGGAAAATAATAATGCTAAATCGAAAACTTTCTTGAAAACGAAGATTTGTTACAAGTTGTTGCGAACGACAGCTCTTTTATCGGAGGCGATAGAAACAAGCTACTGCACTAGGCTAATATGATACCCCACATACTTTTTTCAAAAAAATGCTGATACTTTATAAACTATAGTCCAAACTGAAATAAGAAAATTTGTATGTAAGTACACGTACGCGAAAATTTTTGGTCAAGTTTAAAATGTTATATTTTCTTATTTTTAGCCCTATTTGCATGATTTTTTTAAACTATTTATAAATATATCAACTTTAATTCGTAAACTCAGTTTATTATAAACGTTAGTAATTGACTTATTATACAGGGTTAATCGAAGTTAAACATTACTTTTCGGTCAGAACCATGTCTCCTGAATATTTTGTTGTTTGACTCATGTTCACACATGTCTTGGTTGATTTTTAAGAGCAAATAGAACTTGTCACAAACATTTCGCAATTATATCGTTACTTTTTGATGATATTCTTCATAATGACGAGGTGGCTTTGATGATCATTGCTGTGTGCGGGTAAATCTAGTTCTTAGTGTCGAAAATTGTGCAAAAGTCATTAATCTTGTTGTCATTGATCTTGCTTGGCCCATTGAAGAATAGGAAAACCTAACACAATATATTTGCAGCCTCATTAACATTATGAACCGACAGTTATGGCAGCCGGGGGAGGCAATACAGTATTAGAGTATTTTTTACCAGTTTTTGTTTGTTTGTACATTTACTTACATTACTTAGTTATTACAGTTATTTTTTCTTTAATATCCTTAGTTCAGTTAGTATTACTAATATTTATTAAAACCAAGCATGTATCATTACTTCTTAAATTTTAATATAGACTTTTACTCAGTTACCGAGTGATATTAAAAAATAACATCATAAAGTAATGATAGTTGAAAAAATTGGAAATTGTTGGTGGCAAGTTCATTCCACTCTTAAAAATTAACCAAGGCATGCGTTGATATGAGTTAAAAAAATAATGTTTTAGGAAAAGTTACGAAATTATGCACAAGGTATTTTAAAGTTAGGGTAAAAAACAACCCTTCAATTAACCCTGTATAATAAGCCAAATACTAAAGTTTATAAAAAACTGAGTTTATGCATAAAGTTGATAGATTTATACACAGTTTCCTAAAAAAGTTAAGGGCTAAAAGTAAAAAAATAGACTTTAAACATGACGGAAACATTTTCCGTTGCGTTTTTTGCATTTTTGGGAGTTAGGGGCACTGAAAAGGTGAATTTAAAAAACGGTCGTTTTGAAATTGTAGGCTTAAAAAACGAGATAAAATTTCGAAAAATCCTCTGCCACAAATTTTGACCCTAAATCAAATGGTGATACTGAAAAATTATTTGGAAAAGCGGAAAGGGTAGTTTTTGCAAGGGTAGGGGGTTGTTTCGTAAATAACTTTTTTGAGGTAGTTTTTTTTGCAACGTGGGTTCATTTCTTGAAAACTACATACTTTTTCCTATAAAAAAGTACTCGCCCAGAGCGATGGTTTTCGAGAAAATTGAAAGCAAAGAGTTTGCTCTGATGGGTTGCTAACTGGTTAAGCAACATAAACTTATGAAAGTTATGGCGGTTTGGTTTGGTTAACCAAGTAGTTATCAAATAATTAATTGAAAAATCAAAATTACATGATTTTTAAAACATCTTATTGCTTTAAGAAACGTAATAATCCACTAGATTTCTACTTCTGGGGCCACTTGAAAGCTTTGGTTTACTCATTGCCGATTAATACTGAAAAGCAACTACGGCAACGCATTATTGACTGTTCCAATGAAATTCGGACAAGACCAAGAATATTCTACAGGGTACGCAGATCTTGGAGAACATTTACTATGAATGAATTAAGGAATTCATTATTTCAATAAGGAATTTTGGTAATTGATTTATTCCGTTTTTAAAGCAATAAGGTGTTTTAAAAATCATGAAATTTTGATTTTCCAATTAATTATTTAATAACTACTTGGTTACTTTTAAACCGCCATAACTTTCATAAGTTTATGTTGATTAACCAGTTAGCAACCCATCAGAGGAATTCAAAATTCAATTTTGAATTCATTAATTCTCTTCCTTCAAAATTTCGCAAAGCCTTCAATTTTCTCGAAAACCATCACTCTGGGCGATGTGCAACAGGAGTACCTTTTTTGTAGGAAAAAGTATGTAGTTTTCAAAACATGAACCCACGTTGCAAAAAAAATAACCTTAACAAAGTTATTCACAAAACAACGCCCTGCCCTTGCAAAAACTACCCTTTCGGCTT